TGGATTTACGCCATGAAGAGGTATTCTAGCCAACTAAAACTTCTAAATAAAGCAAAGTTTGAGAAACTATTATTCTATTAAATAATGCTGTGCAGTACATAAAGGCATATACGCGATCGAATTCAAGTCCATCAATACAGCAAAGCTAGTTGGAAGGGAGGGAATCTTATCAATCCATACAACTGATAAAGCTATAAACAGGATGGGTTACAATTCCTGTTCCGGAATTGTAAATACGACTACCGTATATTTTATTCCACCGCTCACAAAAAGATATTGACTTAAATTCGTAAATAATGGCAAATCAAATATTTTATGCATTGTAAAGGGCTACATATGAAACTAAAGGAATGATATTGTCAGATAAATAAAACCTGATAGGGCTTATTTGCAATATTTTAGTCTACGCAATGCATGAATTTTGATTGTCTACTGAGTAATTTATGCTTTTGTGAACACATATCAAGTTCATCATCCTATAGTTTTGATTAAAATTAATTCTAAGCATAAAAATTTAACTCGATCAAAAAGAATAATCTTTGATGAAGACGAAATTCTCTTATTTTAATTAATACGTAATTGAATGATTTAAATTCTAGGTGACTTATTTAGAGAAAAGGGTATAATTTTTTATCCTTTAAGCTTTCACTCACAATGAGCAACAATTCTATTGCGTTTGCATTCATACTCCCTGTTAACAACGGAAAATAATAGTAGCTAATAGAGTTTCTTTGTTAAAGACAATTATGCATGCTGATTTTATATCAAACTTCATCTTAATTTTTTCTAGCGATATTTTTTCCATTTCGCATTTGCATTTACCAACTTTATACACTTCATGCATTTGAAAAAAACTGCCAGGATTACATTTTATTTTTATTAGATGAACATCTATAATCATAAAAGGTGCACAAGCTATTGGTAAATAAACAGAATTTGGTAATTTTTAAATTATATGTAAAACTGTGATATATGTAATGAAATCGGTGTAAATATCGATTGTAAATTCATATTTTTAGCCTTCTGAAATGACGATAGCCGC